CTGTAGAGCCGAGGACGGCTCTATTTCTAAGGTGGTGGGATTGTAACACCCATGAGTGGATGTTAGTCCCACATTGCTAAAGAATGGATATGGATTGTGGTATTTAAAGTTTAACCATACACTAATTAATGTCAAGGCCTTTTAGGGAAAGCCCATATGGGTGGACTCGTGAAAAGTTGGACATACCTTATAGCGTAGTATGGACAGCACATAAGCAGTGTACCCGACCACATCTGCACAACCATATTTTGAAAAACCTATAATGCATTCATATCTTTCTTTTATACTATTTTATACCATATCTTTCTCATCCCTAAAGTGGTATTGTATTCTTAGTTATTATGTCGTTGAACAAGCCCTCACCTTCTGCAACTCATACAACACTGATCTCACTCATTGGAGCTTTGATTCAACTTATGCTAAAATAGGTCTTTTTATCTTTGCTCCTGTGGTTGCAGGCAGTAGTGGAGTTTTAGCTGATTTAGTGGTTTGTTGGGTCATGATGTCAATTGTCTCTACTGCTGCCAAACTCTTGTAAGACTTTAAAACAGGTTACCTCATCACTTTCTAATCACCAATTTTCTGTGGATGCAAGCAAGTCCATGTTTTAATCTCAATTGGTTATTATGGAATACTTTCGATATTTGTGATACTAATGGTCCATACAAAGCACCATATGCTAAAATTTTTAGGTATTGAAGGTTTGTGTAGTGTTTTATATAGATGATTTTTTCTGAGACATGATTTTGTCTCATATTTTATTTTTGTAAACATACTGTGTACAATAAACCGATTCCTGGAATGAAAGCACAAACAAAGCATGATAGTGGGCACAAAGATCAAGTGGGCCATCATGACTGTTTTGATTTTGTGTGCCAGGATCAGACCGGAATAATCCTTTTATATTTAATTATGCCAGAAAAAAATGTCATTCTCATCATTTCCGTAAAGCAACAGGACACACAGGATTGCATTCTGTAATTTTAATTTTACTTCTTTTTTTTGTTTTTCGGTTATCATATTGTGCACAATAAGTCGATGCTCTGGATTGAAAATGAAGGAAGCATGGTAATGTGCACAAAGATTGAAGGAAGCATGCGTTTTTCGGTCATCATGTCTGCTTGCTTTGATGCCTGTGGCCTTGATCTGCAGGCCTGGATCAGACCTACATATTTCCCCTCCCTTCTATTTGTTTATCTCCCCACTTTAATCTTTTTACAAGAGAATAAATAAGCCAAACGCATTAGTTAAAATCTTTTTATAAATCTTTAATCATTTGAAGGTTCATGCACCACAACATGTAATCTCATGCTTTTCAAGATATTGTTTTTTTGGTTTTCATTTTTTTTCTTTTGTTGTTGATACACTTTAGTATGTATGCTTATGTTGTGGTAAATTTTAGTCACGTAGTTATCTTTATTTTACAACAATATGTATGCATATGGTTTTCCAATATGGAATGTGTAAATTTGGTTCATAGGTTGGGACAACACTAAAGATTATGTCACTCATCAAGTTTATGCCATAGGAAATCGGGATGGCTTTGTATTTTGTTATTAAACTATGTCCATCTCAGTTATAATAGAACTGTATAAATGAATGTGAAGAAACACTTTACACTTTTGTCTAATTGTGTGTACACATCACTAGAAGATTGTGTTACACATTGCAGTGAGTTGCTCCTGAATTGTTATTATAATTATGTTGTTCAGCTGCTTTCTTCACTTATTATCCTCTGATGTGCATTCCTAATTCGAACCTAAACTTGACAGCCTGATGAACTTGTTGTAGAAGACGAAGAGGATGATGAGGAAGATTCGGAGGATGAAGAAGATGACAATGCCGAGGATGGTGCTGAAGTTAAGTAGATTGTTCTTTAGTACTTACAAATATAATTACTATAACTTGCTCTTTTTATATTATTGGGGAATAATATAATGTTTTAAATCAATCCCTGGCGTAAGCCGTGTTACCGTATAGAAGAGCAAGAATGTTAGTCTCCTCATTTTCTTTTGCATTTAGAAGTTTTGTAACACTCAATCCATTGAGCTTGTGATTTATATGTTCTTAACCACACTGATATCTGAATGTCTTTTTGCAGATCTTGTTTGTCATCTCAAAAACAGATATTTATAAGAGCCCAACATCAGACACATATGTTGTCTTTAGTGAAGCAAAGATTGAGGATTGAGCTCACAACTGCAAACTCAGGCTGCAGAGCAGTTCAAGGCTCTAGATCTCAACCACGTGATTTACAAGCCCGATGATGAGTCCTCAGCCATAGCTCAGGATGATGAGGATGTTGATGAGACAGGTAGAATTCAAGGACATAGAATTGGTTATGACTCAGGCTGGAGTTTCCAGGTCAAAGGCTGTGTAAGGGCACTTAAAGCTGCTGATGGAGACATTGTTGCTGCCATTATGGACCTCACAAACTAAGAGATGTCAGTGTAGTGTGATTGAGTAAGCAGTTTATTAATGTACACATTTGAGGATTTGTATTTGAGTTCAGAATAGTTTTTTCAATTTTGTTTCTCCTTCAAGTTTTATTTTGTATTCAGAATTTAATTTTGCAAGTTTTTTCATTGTGTTATGGGGTATATTATATGATTATGCTGTGAGATGTCTAGACCCTTTTTGTAAGCCACCCTTGTAGTATCACCTCGTGTGCAGTTTTTTAACCTTCAACTCAGGTTAATGTTGGGGAGTGAGGAAATTAGGTGAGTAGAATACTTTGTTTGAATCTATGTCCAGTATCGAGAATTGTTTGAAGTTCATGGAAACTTGCCACATGACCTTTTCTACAATGATTTGCAGGTTCAAAATTTAAGTTGGGTTTGACCCCCATTGTAATCTTCCTTCTTACAGCTACGAGGAGTGTATTGTGTAAACCCCCTCTTTTAATTTCATGCAAATTGGGATTTATTGATAATTAAGTAATTTGATGCAAGTCCTG